ATCTTGTAAATCAAACGATATTTGTAAATCAAAAAGAGAACTTTAAAACAGCTTTTCCTGATTTATTTCAAAACTATCAAAACCCATCAATACACACTAACGAACCATGGAATGCCTGGATTCATTCTTCATTTGATTGGTGGCAATGTCAGTTAAATTTTGCAGTTTGGTGTGCAAGTACAGGATGTGGTGTTTCTTATAATGATCATATACAAAATACTTCAAATCTTACAAAGTCTTTTTATATGTTTCATTTATATTATTGTATTGCCAGAATTTTAAAAGAACTTAAATCACCTTTACCAACAGATTCTTCTTTCTGTTATTACAAGAACCCATATGACAAAGCTGCATATCAGAAATTATGTGATGAATTTAATATTTCTCCAAATACAAATTGGAGACAAAAACTAGAATCATCATGTCAAGGATTAGGAAGTTTTGAGCAATATTATAAACCAAGTGGAGAATATAGACAAAGAAATAAAATTAAAGGACCTTTCTTTAGTACTCATGATACTATTAAGCATGAAAAAGATATAAGTATGGCTTGGACAACATTTATTTTAGATAACTCTAATGGGTTTACACAAGCAGGTATTGAACGTATTAATGAAAGTATTAAAATTTATGTATGGGCTTTGTTAGGTGCACAATCTCAAACAAAAACAAAAATTTGAAAAGTAGGAACAGGATTTGATGCACAAAAACAATTCTTAGCAAATGTACAAGATGTAATAAATAGTCCTATCGATTTACCCACCCAGATATCGAATTATGAAAATGTTTTAAAATATGCAAGAAGTAAAGTTGATTATGCTTATGGACTTGGTTTATATATGTCTCCCAGTGATATGGTTTTACAAATTGGAAGTATTGTTGGTTATAATAATAAAATTATAATTGCAACAGAAAATCAAACACTTGGGTTAAATGATGATTTAAATAATAAAAATTTTGATCATGTTGATTTTAAACCAAAAGAACCTGTAAAACCACAAGAACCTATAAAACCTGAAAAGCCTAAAGAACCAAAAATAGATCCAATAAAAAAAATTGAACATGAAGATCATGAAGATAATAAACAAGCAATAATATTTGTATTTGTATTGTAATAGGATTTACAGCACTTTATTTTTTCAAATAATCTCTAGCAGCAGTAAACAATAAACTAACAACTAAAATAAGCAATGCCCATAAGTTGTTTGCAAACCAATTTACTACGTCTTTTGTTGCAGACAATAACCAAGAAACAATAGAACCTATAATACCTGGTAATGCAGCTGCTAATTTTCCTGCAAGAAAAGATAATAATTTTCCAAGATTTTTTAATTGTTTTTTTATCCAGTCTTGTACACCACCACCTTTTGATGGAGGAGAAGGAGAAGGAGAAGGAGAAGTAGTTCCACCAGTAAATGCTTCAACAATAACACCAATAATCATTCCAAAAGCAGTTAAAACACTAACTATTGTTATTCCTTGTTCTCTGAATAATGTTCTTATTCTTTCACCTAATGTTTTGTCTTCGTTTAACATTTTATGTATTGTTTGTTTAAATCTGTTTACTTGACTACGTAGTTTTTCTTTATTAATATTAATTACTTCTAGTCTTGCTCTTCTCTCAGATTCCAACTCTCTTATTCGACTACTTATTCTATCTATTTGAAATTTATTATTGTCTTCTTTAGCTTGTTCTAATTTGGCATTTTCTTTTGCTAAGTCTTTATTTGTTTCATTCAGTTTTGCTAAATTATTTGCAATCTCATCTTCCGCTGTTGTAAATGCTTTTATTATACCATCCATCTCTCTTTTTGTCATTTTTGTTTGTGTTTCTTCATTTATTAAAGATGTTCCTTGTTCAATAAATGAAGTTTCTATTTCTTTCACATATGTTTCTGCATTACTTGCTGTTTCTAATAATTCTTGTCCTTCTTCTTGTGTAGATATTTCTTGTAATGGAATTTCTATATTATCGAGTTCATTTAACATTCTCTGAAACCCTGCTCTACCTTCTCTTAAATTATCAGATATTTTATAATCATCTACACCTAAAACATCCCTGACAAAATTAACACCGTATTCTCTTTGAAGAGTGCTAAATTTATAAAACTTTAATACTCCTTTTTGGTAATATGTTAATGCAATATCATTACCTTTTTCATCTTTTACATATAAGATTTGTCTTCCCTTATGATTTTCCCCAACAAAAAAAACCTCTTCATTACGTATAGTTTCACCATTTTTTTTATAAAATTGTTTAATCATTTTTTTTGTAGTTTCTTTTTTACGAATTTTAACATCATTTTCTGATAAATCTCTTGATATTTCAAATTCCTTATTTATATTATTTTGAAACTCTTCATCATCTTGAAAAGACGTTTCTTCTTCTTCATAATCATCATCATAATCATTATTTTTAAACTCAGGATTATCAAACTCATAACCTCCTTCAGCCATTTTATTCATCTAAAATATTAGATAATAAACAATAAAAAGAACCTGTTAAAAACAACTTAAGATAAAAATAATTAAATTTTTTATTTAACATTATTTTTACATTTTTTACTAATTTTTCTTTTGTTTCTTCATCCATTTATTTAATTAAAAATTGATTCATAGTTTGGTGGATTTCCGTTATCAACTAAAATTATTTTATTAAAGAAAATCAAAGATTTTCCATTTTTTTTTTTAATTCGTTTTTTACTCTATTTTCTGTTTCCTCAATTAGTTTTTTTCTTTCATCATCTGGTAAACTTTTTAAAATTACTTTTTTTTTATTTTTTTTCATCTCATTAAATTTTTCTAATTCATCTAAAATAAGTTTAAATTCATCTACACTTATCTGTCCGTCAGTTAAAGATTTTGATATTAAATCTTTTATGCTGTTTAACTTGCATTCTGCCATTGTTTTAATTTCATAATGTTTTTTTGATTTTGTTGTCAACTTTCTTCTAATTAATTTAACTAGACCTCCTAAACTTCCACATACAACAGCTGCAATTTGTATGGGAAGTAAGATAGGAAAAGCTATTCCTATACCAGCTAAAACAACAGATGTCGAAATTAAACTTGTATCAACACCATCAGTAACATTAACTCCGCGTTTATATTTTTTGTATAGTGATTTACGTTTATCTCTCTCATTTATTAATGTTTTTTCTATTTCTGTTATTTTTTGTAGTCTATAATTTTGTCCATCTTCTATAGGTAATTCTGGATATAAATCAGGAGCTGTAGGTTGTTTCATTTTTTAAAGTAAAAATTGATTTTTTTTTTTTTCTCTTAAATCCCACAGAATTCTTTCTTCGCCTGTTCTCCCGGTTTTTTTATTTATTTTTTTTTTGGAATTTTTTTGTTGTTTTTTGGGTGTTTTTAATAACGTTTTTTTCCAAAGTAAAAAAAAAATTTTTTTGGGAGTAAGAAAATTTTGTTGTTTTTGCGTTATTTTTTGCTTTTTTTTTTATGAAAATTTAGGGCTCTTTTACTTGAAATGAGGGTAATTTTTTGGGGGTCAAATTTTTTTTTTTTTTGGAGGGGGGTATAGGTGTGTGATATTGTGTGTTCCTTTTTTTCTGTTTTTATCAGCACATCAGTGTTTGTATTATGTTTTTGATTTCTAATAATTTGGTCCTATGCATCATTGATTACATTAATTGTCGAAACGAGCATCTGGTGTAATTAAATTATTCTGGATAATTTTAAATCTCGATCTTTCTCTGAAATTAGTTTTATTAAAACCTTTGATTTTTCAACCCTTTATACCACCAATCCGCATTATCCCCATGTGAAATTGAAAAATCCTCTAAAAGAAATAATCCACAATGCTTTTCAATATAAAAATGGTTACATACGCTATATAGTTATTGCTTTAGGTTACCATTCAGCATATTTTGTTAATAGTGAACAAAAAGATATAACATGCTGCACCGAAAAACAAATGATCAGTATACTGGAGTTTCTTATTGACAGCATATTTGTTGAGTTTGGAGGTCGACTTTTTCAAACAAATTGTCGGCATACCTATGGGAACGAACTGTGTGCTTCTCCTTACCGACCTCTTCTTATTTTCATATGAGTCGGAGTTCCTTCAGACACTTGTCAAAAACAAGATAATCAAAAAAGCCAGATCATTTAATTTCACATCCAGATATATTGATGATGTTCTTTGGTAAAATCCTTTTGGCGTGGTTGGGTATTTATACATCCAGCCATTTTGTTATTGTGCTATGGTCATTTTTTACATTTTTGTCTTTCATTTTTGCTTATGTACTCTGTCTATGGAGTAGTGTCTATATACCATTTTTGTATGTTGACTGCTGTACCCATATTTTTGCATTTGTAACTATTATGGCTGTTTGTTTTGCTCACACATTGTTGTCAATATGATGGAATTTTATGCGATTGTCATATAATTGAGAGGTTTAGCTAGCTATAAAATCATGTTTACTTCACTATTTTCTACATAAGGAAATGCCTGTACCAAGTTAGTAATATGACAATTGTTTCCATTTGTTTGATGTGTTTGAGTTTTTTATATAGCCATTTGATAAGGGACTTCCCATTTTGAATTTTCCTTGGAGATCGGTATTTTTGTTATTTTACTTTTTATCATCGTTGATGTTATTAATCGGTTAAAGAACGTCTTGTGTATGAACGGATGGACTAAGACACATTAATCCGCCTCTGTAGTTTTGTGGCAGCATGTTTGCCTTGATTGCAGGAGCTCGTTGTTAAACCAATGACTTCAAAAATTAATATTTGCCGCTTTCCCGCTTAACACGCGGCGTTAAGGAGAAAGACCAAGAACTGGTTGGTTGAGAGTCATATTCACATGTTAAATATGCATTTAACTTGACGTTTAGCAGCCATTATCAATCATCATCTCAGGCACTTTGAAAGGTTTATGTTTACTATTTGTCTATCTTTTTATCGATATAAACGGCGTAAAACAAACACATAATTCTGTAAATTAATCCCTTATTGTAAATATAATCTAAAAGTTATATTCTTGATTAAACACTTTATTAATTATAACTTTATTTGCAAAACAGCAACACTGTATGCCATAACTATCTGCTATTTTTATCAATCAGTCAAATATCAATTACGGCGTGGACATAATATACTTAATCATGAATATAACATTTCGAGTAAACAATCGTATTATCTTAGCATATAAAAAAGTTATTATACATTTAACATGTTTTAAAACCAACAAAATAAAAATTCAAGATTTTATAAATCAAATGATGTATATATATTATAAAAAATAATGATTGAAATCGTATACACCGCGTAAAATTTAATGTAAAGAAGATTTCATAATACATTTACACGTTATGCTGTTCATCATCATTGACTTAATCTATTTTTATTTATGTTATTACTCAATTATGTGATTACATGAATCATCTCCATTTCAGCCTCTAAGTCAGTGTTTCGAATTGAAGCTCTTTCTAACATCTATCAGTTTTCTCTATGGAAGTGTCTGTAACCAAACCTGTATTATCTGCGGGTTTTTGGCCATCCATTTTATGTTTAGGCTTATTTTCTCAACAGCCTGTTGAAAAGCTCTTGCTCCTGATCCAAGACTTGGAACACTTTCTTTAAAATTGTGGACCTGTAATATACAAGTGTTATAAATTTATTAATGAAATTCAGATTGGCATTACTACGCAAATTTTACTCTATTTAGGTATATTTCAAATTTAAAAAAAAACAACTTCCATCTTTTTCAGCGATCTTTTACTTGTGGTATGTTTAGAAGTCCTTATTAATTTTTTATTTTTTTTTTGCAACTGATTCATACCGCTATAGTCAATTATCAGGCATTTAAGTATGTATTGCATAACACGGGTATTTTTCCACTGAATTGAATACTGAAAATGGACTGAGCAGATCCAAGTGAGGTGGCTGAACAGAGGGGAATTTACTAAAGTAGAATCTTCTGAAAGTCTTTGATTGAAAGTTCAGACGTTAATGTTGGTTCTTTTAAAGCTTAGAATGTATGTCAATATAAAATGACCTCAATAGTATGTGATATAATATATAGTTTGTTTGTTCACAGTTCTTCATCATTTGTGGCTTGTGCTGTGGTACTGTTCTCGCTACAAGTCATTATTATATCAAAGGATCGAAACTGCTCCTGGTGGAATATCACATTTCGTCCTGCAAGGACCTTTCATAGCTCATTATACAGTGCTCATTGTAAAAGACTGTACTGTGACCTATAGTTACTTACATCCACTTCACTAGATCTCTGGTTGATAATTGTCTCATTAGCAATGAGACACAGTTGACTTAAGACGGTCGTGGTGTAGTAGTTCTATTGAGATCCATGTAACTATAACGCTTTCAGTCGTTTAATAGTCCAAACAATGAAATCCTGTTGACGGTTATTTCAGAAACAAATAACTGTATCATCATTGGCCTTTGGTTTTGTGAAAATGTAGCAGTTCTATAGATTTGACTATATTGTAACGTACATGTACATTGAAACCTGTTAACACGTGATTTTGCGTTACTTACTAGTAGTTTACCAGATAGCATGTAAGACATACTAATACAGTCTATAATAATGTATCTCTAATCATCTGTTATACATGTTATCCGTTCAGATGACAAGAAAAGAAACATTTAAGGATATTTACCAAAAATAATTTGTAACTAAACGTGCTGGAAATTATCTTATGATATTTTTTTTTCATTATTTGATATAGCTATCGATTTGTGTAATAACAGCTCTTAATGCAAAGTTAAATCATTCATGTTTGAAATATGGATTTGCTCGCAAAGATATCATAAGTAATAACTTCACACTGTATGTGATAAGAGTACACTATTGGTTAAATAATTTAACATAATTATCCAATGTCGTACCGATTGTAGGTCGAATTCGGTGTTGAATTTAGCTGTAATGCCAGTTATCAGATGTGAAAACAAGAACGAACCACCATATCTGCAAAAGCATAAAAAAGACGTGTTTCTTCATACTATATATACTTCATACAGCAGAAACAAATCTTGTAGAAAAAGTATGCATTATGTATATCATCAATTTTCACAGTGCATATAATAAAAATATATAAAGTTGCGATTGGTAATGATCATCTTGAAAATGTTGGAGAATGTATACAAAATGTGTGATTCAATGCATATTTAAGATATGAATACAGAGAAAGTTTCTTTTTGATTATGTAATAACGTCAACGTACAAGTTTTTGTTTAAAAAAAATGTACATTTTATACATGTCACATTTTTCTTTCTTTTTGCGTGTTTATTAACAGAGGTGTGAAAGGAAGCTAATTTAAATCGAGATTTAAATGTATCGTGATGCGGGAATTCGGAATTTGGCATTTATTTTCTCGGGAATGCAGGATGAGAACCATCGTAACATTGAACGTTCATTCGGTACGAACCACAGGGAAAATCTTAATACATATACAAATCTTAATACGCACATTCTTTAGTTATTTGGGACATATAATAGTTAATCGTTCAACAGAAACAGAGTAATACAATTACTGATGGGCAAGGTGTATGAAGTATAGCAAAAGACTCTTGGAGTTTGATCTATATCATATTCAGGAATACTCATAACTTTGCTATTCTATTTTATTTGATTTTTGTTCACATTTTGTCATGTCGATGCCTTTTAAAGCTTTCTATACGGTATAGGTTTTGCGGATTTTTGAAGGTCGTACCGAGACCTATATTTTCTAAAATATGTATCATTTGAACTCATTTGGATCGTTGTCTCATTGGCAATCATGCATCATCTCATCATATTAAATAATTTTATAATTGAATTTAACTGATAATTGAGAAAATAAAATGTTTGATAACCAGACTGTTTAAAATCCTTCGTAGTTAAATACAGAATTATTCCATAACCAATTAAAACGAGACAGGTACATTATGTTTTTATTTGAACAGTCCTCCTTACCAACAATACTTTAACATATTTTTAAGAAGAGTAAATCGGACAATACTACATATTTCTATATTCTATTACCGTAAAACAAATTGTTGCTTTGCAAATCAAATGCCAAAAAAATTTTTTTTAAATAAATTTGTGCCAAAACTGGTGTGGCCATAACAATTAACTACTACAATATATGAACATGTTGCACCATCTGAATATGCATAAGTCAATTTATTGACATAGCATAGATTAAAAACACTGAAATTTGTTGATTCTATTTTAACAATAAATACACAATAAAATAGTATAGCTTCAATAACTGTGTTTTTTGTACAATTTAAGATAGATAAATGAAAAGTTCAGACACTAACTATTCTAATACTTACTGATTAAAAATAGCATCCCAGTTTCCTCGAAAAAAATCCCATACTAAAGATCTACCAATACTATTTCTTGATATATAAACTATGATGTTAACTGCATCCTGCTTTCGGATCTCCTCGGGCATTAATGCATATCTAAGAAATCTAAATAATTAGATAAAAACACATTAAAAGTAATGTAATAAAAATACCGAACTCCAGGGCAAATTCAAAACGGAAAGTCCCTTGTCAAAAGGCAAACTCAAAAGCTCAAAAATCAAACGAATGAAAAACAACTGTCATATTCCTGATTTGGTACAGGAATTTCCTTATGTAAAAATGGTTATTTAAACCTGGTTTTATAGGCAGCTAAACCTTTCATTTGTATGACAGTTGCATAGAATTAGAAATTGTTCAAAACATATATGGGATTTTCCTGGGTTTTTTTTAAGGATTGATTGATTGATTATTTTTGGAGCAACTTTTAACCTAAATGCCATTTTCTGGTGGCTATTTTCGATTGACGCAGAAAATAAAAGTGCCCGGAGAGAACTGCCGACCTTTGGCAGGAACACTGATAAACCTAGTCAATTAAGATTGGAGTCAAACGCATGTGCGAGGTTCGAACTCACAACTTCAGTGTTGACAGGTTATAGATATAGTAGATGAACTACGTAGACAACTTGGCCACCGACCGAGACCCCTGTTAGAATGGATTTTAAACACTGATCGATACGCAGAAACATTAATAATTTCATAATGAATATTTGCAGCAAGAGAATTGTCATTGTAGATATTAAATTGTCGCAATAAGGTTTAAAGTGATTAATTTTACTGAGAATTTCATGTGTTTAGATTTAATAAAACTTTGAATTTCTTTATAACCACGAATGTGGACTCCACTACAAATATTAGTTTATGTTACAAACTTAGTTACGAGTGTAAAATATAGGCCTTAAATTCATTTAATAAACAAACCTGCTCAAAACCCAAACATCCCTGCTGCAGGACAACGAATACAGCAAAGCAGCCCTTTCAGTGGCAAAATTCGATGTTTTATATTTCTTATATGCAAAGTCCCATTCTTCTACACCCCCAAATCGTATTGCTGTACAGTATACAGTTGATCGCAGATTAACATTAATTCTGAAAAAAAAAAACATTCACAATGTGTTCATACTGTATGTATGACTGAAAATAAAAATTGTCGGTATTCAATATTGATTTATTTTAAGGATATTCGCTCCTCTGATTATGGATAACAAGCTTTTAAAAATACTATTATAAATGATAGTATATGAATAACGGAATTTAAAAAGTAGAAAAAATGACAGGTCCGTGTTCTTGTTTTTGAGATATAATCAACTGGAAATTTGGCCTGAAATTATTCTCTCTAGATTTTTCATATATTTAACATTGGCACCTTTTTTCTTTCAAAACGTGTAAAAAATAAGGATTTTATCAGATTTTCAAAAATAGTTTTTTTCCACTATATGTAATAGAATTACGAAAAGAAAAGTAGGGGTTAGTGGTCAAAATTTGTATTGGCAGTACATGGATAAAACTATAGAATTCCTAAGATCTGACAAAAAGTGGAAAACAAGAATAGCAAACATCCTTAAGTGATTTTGCGGGGTTAAGTTTGTTCGCTTTAAAAGATTAGTCAACTAGTATTTATAGACAGCTATTTTGAGATAAACCCATCACGAATGGTGCGGTAATTATATGGTCCTTGATCCGTTTAAATATGTAAAAAAAATAGGATAACAAAAATACTGAACTCGAAGGAACATTCAAAACGGAAAGTCCTTTTATCAAATGGCAGAATCAAAACCTCAAACATATCAAGTTAGAAATAAATTTAGATACGATCAGGGTAAACTTATTGGTCCTTTGAATAAACTTATTCTAAAAGGTTACCAATTCAACACTGTAATTAGACTTTGAATATTTTTTGTATTGGTTTTAAAATTGATTTTGTTATCAGTAGATTAAATCCAAGCTAAATATTATTTTTATATACATATGCATATTCATGACTCTACAATTTGTCGATACTTGTATCTTGGAATTGCACAAGATCGTTTTAATCTCTGGCTGTTAATGACGTCTTTACATTACATTCATTGGATGGTGGATGTGTACTGATTATTATTTTGGTCTTAGATGTATGAATTTTTATTAGTTTTTATTGGCTTTGAACTAACTGTCAGTACCTGCGAGTACTCTAAGATCTATACTTAATGCCTTTTTTTGTTGAGGGGATGTATAAGTACGTCCTGTCTGTGGTTTTTTTGTTGTTAGATGCATCTCTTTTTTGTATCGATTGATGAGTTAAGCCCTTTTCAATTGATTTTTTTAGTTTACTCTTTTGTTTTGCTGTTACACCACTGTCCCAAGTAAGGGGATGGATGGTGCCTTCAAAATAGTTTAAGCCCGCTTATTCTGTATCTTCGAGGAAAGGAAGACGGGTATGTGGTTACGACAATTGGAACATATTCGTCGTCATCTGTGAATTAGATATTCAATAACGGTCAACCAACTTGCGATGAAGTCCGTAAAAAATTTTAACATATGATTTCAACCTCACCAAATTCTAACAGATTAAACGATACATTTCAACTGTATAGAAAATTGAAAGACGTTAACATTTGAAAGTATGTCAGGCAAAATGCCGTATCTAGCTCAAATGCCTACTTTATTAACCAACAATCAAATACCGGTGTGTTACTCAGTTTAATAGTTTATTATACTCACGGGTTTGTTCCATTTGTCAATTCCATTAGCTCCCTATATAGCTTTCTTGCATTTCCAATACATTCTTCATTACCATATCTACATGCTAGGGCAACAACAATTCTTCTAACATATCTAAAATGTATCCAAACGGACTCATATTTACATGCTAGGGCAACAACAATTATTCTAACAAATATAAAATGTAAAAAACGGACACTTATGTCTGTTTTGTTACTAAACGTTGATCTGAAGACAACACAATCTTTTTTTGTTCTTTGTATCGTTACCTACAGGATTTGTACTTGCATGGGCAACACGACGGTTGCACTATGTGAAGCAGAAACTGCTTACCCTGCAGGAGAACCTGAGGTCACCCCCGATTTTTGGTAGGGTTCGTCTTGCTTAGTCTTCATTTTTGTATGTAGTGCTTTGGGGATTTTTTTTTTTTTGTCGAATTCTGTTTTGCTTGTTTTAGACTTATGAGTTCGCATATACATGTACCTTCTTGTACGTTCCGCTTGTCTTTCATTGTTTTAACCCATTTTATTAGTGTTCATTGGAATGTCTAAATATAAAACTATTCATATAATGCAGATTTGTTTGTGTCTGTTGTAAAGATATAATCTAGATGTTGTATAATACAAAATCAAAAGATAAGGGGTATCCATCCATGACACTAAATCAGTATATTCACAACAAAACCACATAAAAATCGCTTTTATTGCTGTTCTTCATCTCAAAGTATATGACGGCCCTAGCACCGATTTGACAGTTGTTTTTCATTCGTTTGATGTGTTTGATCTTTTGATTTTGCCATTTCATAAAGGACTTTCCGTTTTGATTTTTCCTTGGAGTACGATTTTTTGTTATTTTACTTTTTTGAGAGGAATTTTTTGCAAACAGATTCGGATAGACTTTGTAAGATGTATCACCACCAAATCGGGTCCGGTCAAAAAAGAACATACTGGAAAGTAGTACATATTTAAAACAAAATAGTTCCTACGCATAGGTATAAATATCAAACTAGGTAGAATATATTTTAGTTATTAAGGTAACAAATGAAAGGTGAAGAAGGACTGGTGTGTAAAACAATGTAGAACATGTATGGACTGATGATTTTGAATAATACAAAAGTGTATGAATGTATTATAAAATTGAGGGCATATATTGATTGTTTCTCATATATGACGTGCCTGGTTTTGTGTATCCAGAGTTCCGGTAATCGGTCTGATGTATAAATAACGGTATAATGATCCCGTTCAAATAAAATGTTTTGAAGTGATTTTTTAGCGTGGAAAGGAATGAGGGCCAAGAATAGGAGTAGTGCGTCTTATCAAAATTTTAGTACACAATCTGGCCTTAAATTGAGGGAAAAATGTGGCACACAATAAAAATGTTATCTCAATAATGAATACAACATAACATTAAAAATTCAGAAGAGCATAATAACCTATTTTTTATCTTATTTTCTCTTTTGGAGGTTATGGATGGTGAAGATTGGTTTTGGTTTTCATTTTCACATAATCGGCACTGTTTGTGTTTAAAACGACAAACTATGCTGATTTATTTTGACATATATCATTTTATTCAGAGTATTCATCTAGTTAGTAGGTTCTATTCTTTATTCAGAACTCTAAAATCCCAAAGCAGCGTGTGCAAAGTTGTCGTATAAGGACATAAAAGCTCCGTTTGAACCTCAATTTCATTTGAAAAGTGTTTGTAAACATAAAAGATTGCCTTTTGTTAATTAGTTGTCATTATTCTTTATAACTAGATTTTTTCAAAGCATAAATGGTCAATTGATGTACTAATATACTTTGAAGTTTAGTGCTTCAGTTTTTTCCTATGTTTTACTTTTCCCTGATTTCCGCTCAAAATAACAAGTGTTACATTTTAAAATTCGCTTTTGCTTCTAACCTTATTTAACTGTTTATGATTTTATGCTAGGCTTCTTTTTCATGCATATTATGTATCCAAATGAATATAACCGACTTTTCATACATTTGGTTCTAAGCTATGTATCATATATCTAAAAAATGACAAAGTGTGAAGTACTTACGTTTCTAAATGACCTGACCCCGAGTTGTCCATTCCAAATTTATTGAAAGGAATTGTAAACGTTGATTTCATGAATTTCTTTAAAAATGTGAAACATGAAATCATTAAAAGCAATTTTCAAGTAGTTATATTAGCCAATATATAAAAGATTATATATAAATGTACATTTATAAGCTACTTAGAGAAAAATTAGGCGAACCATTAGAAAACAAACAATCTGTTGATTAAATATAAAAAAAGTATATAGATAATGTTAAAACCCGGTTTCAATAGTATCCAATGTTCAACAGCATTAAATTTAAAGTAACACAAAAATTCACGGATGATAAAAGAACAGAGTTCCATTGTCCCCCGCGTTGCACATATTTTATATTTCCAAGGGGCATAACTCTTTTTAAAAAAGTCAATCGTCCACCATTAAAGAACTTGTCCGAGATATTGCTGATATTAACCTATAGTATAAGTTTTATAAAAATCTGGCAAGAATTGTACCCGTGAGAGCGCTAACGAGGCCATATTCCATAAATTTAATATTTCCAAGGGGCATAACTCTTTTAAAAAAAGTCGATCGGCCACCATTAAGGAACTTGTCCGAGATATTACTGATATTAACCTATAGATTGAGCTTTATAAAAATCTAGCAAGAATTATACCCGTGAGAGCGCTAACGAGGCCATTTTCAATAAATTTAACATTTCCAAGTGACATAAATCTTTTTTAAAAAAGTCGATCGGCCACCATTATGAAAATTGTCCGAGATATTGCTGATATTAACCTATAGTATAAGTTTTATAAAAATCTGGCAAGAATTGTACCCGAAAGAGCGTTAACGAGGTCATTTTCCATGAATAAGATATTTCCAAGGGGCATAACTCTTTTAAAAGAAGTCGATAAGCCACCATTATAGAACTTGTGCGATATATAATGCTGATATTAACCTATAGTATCAGTTTTATAAAAATCTGGCAAGAATTGTATTTGTGAGAGGGCTAACTTGACTGGACGTACGGACAGACGCCCGGTATTTCCATGTCCCCCGCAACGCGGTACGCGGGGGACAAAAAGCGTTGCAACTTAGAATTTATCGCAATTAAGTAATGTTCTCTTCAACTTAGAAATTTTCAAGAAACATTGTCATTCGTTTTTCTAATCACGGTGTAGATATTAAACATACTAACGGCGAAGGCTCCAAATAAAGCTGTTCTTTCAAGCATGCCATCAATATAAAGTAGTTCCTCAGAAGCCGCTGAATACGGTAAAAAGTTTTCTTCAGTCGACAGGTATTCAACTGTTTGAAGGGCTAGATTCATCTTGAGGTCACCTGATCTAGAAATGGGAAAACAATATTTAATAGGCATCTTGATTTTAAGAGTCACACAAATAATGAGTCTATTGAAATTGAAAAAGTACTTTGTAGTCACTTTTTCAAATACCAATTTACCCTGCCGATGCACACGATTACGATTCTCATGGGGTTCATGCGATTCTTACAGTGTCTGATTGTTATCTTTTTTGGCTCTCCCTTATCGATCGACGAGATTTGAACATGTTTAAACTACTGTCGCCTTACTATATAATTAGAGATGTCTTAGAAAGCATCATGACTTAAAGATAAATTTGGATGATAGTGAGCATTTGACGTATAGTGCATTCGTTATGGCATATACCTTAAATTCGATTATCGTCTTTTTAATTAAAATAATTATAAAATATATCATAAAAAATATATTGCAAATGCATTAAAAAAAGATAACAAATGCATTAAAACATAGAATATAAATGCGTTATATGTATGTAAGATAGGACATATACATTGTTTTTTGGTAAAGGATAAGATAAATCGTGTTTCTTGTTGTCCCTACTATAAATGTACTTAATTCAGTAGTGCGTAAATTTGCTACAAATATGTATAACAAATATACCGTAGTATACCAGTACTAGCTATTGCTGTACAGCTTTAATTATGGTTATTTAAATAGAAGAACAACATAACTGTCTAATACAATGTGTCAGTGCGCATGAAGTATGTTTTGGGAATTACTCTTATGGGGTATTCTCGAGAACAAAATTTGGGAACTGGAAACTAAATAATCGTTCAGTACAATGTCAGTGCGCATGAAGTATGTTTTGTAATTACCCTAATCGGGTATGCTTGGAAACATAAATTAGGGATTATAAAAATTATAATATTAATGAGTTACGACACAAAATATGTCAAAACAAAATTGGCATACCAGTGTGAACATAAGTCATTACTTATTAGTTTTCATATAGAATATAATAGCTAAACTGATACATTAATAAGAAACTAAGGTTCAAACTCTTCCATGTAAAGATGATAAATTATTCCTTTTAGGACTCTTTTGATCATACAGCTTCTTATATTTCTTCGCATTTACTCATGCCTGGCTTTCAAATGTGTGAAGTATAGGGTTCCTAAAGAAGGAATACCAGGAAAGCGATTTTGACGCATACAATATATAAAGTGTTATTAACATGTAAATTACAAATGAAGGTGAGTGTGTACTAAGAATCATGCTAATATGAAAGAACCGGGTATACGTCTAACACATATTTATAATTACATTGTTAAATGACTTACTTGGCTAAGTTAAACGCATCATTTATAATTTGAGCTCTATTTATTTGATGAATTTTCTGCAAAAAACAATCAATAGTTATATTCATATAGATATGTTTACGAAAGTAGTACTGAATATTGATAGAAAAGGAAAACACATATACTTGCGATGTGCATGATGTATCCTGTGGTTTAGTTCAATTACTTAAGAAGCCAAGATGATGGCAAAATCACTTTAGGATTTTCCAATGTTGCACTTGTGTTCAAAGTCAGCTTCAAAACAAATTCAAACTTAAATAAAAACAGATATTTCGCAGCTAATGGTTTTTTTTTTTTGTCAAATACTTTTATGAACACGTGATTTCGGTAATAAGGTTAGAAAAATGTAGATAACCTTTATGGTGACCAATATGTAAATACTAGTTCAAACAGCTAACAACGTTCAAAGACGACTGTGGTATTAAACTTTTAATGTTAGATAAATATCAACAGAAACAACGTGCTGTTGTTTTGGTAAAAACATGTACAAAGATCATAGAAATGACAAAAATGAAAAACGACGAAAAGACCAACAACAGTCTACAAAACATATGAAAATCTATAGGATTAACAAAACCCTACCAATGTAGGGGGATGATGCTAGGTGCTCCGGAAGGGGTATCACATCATGTTCCAAACCAAATGTGATTGAATTAATGGGTAGTAATACCGTAAGATCAGTCTTAAGTTGTTGGATCAATTTCTGCCAGTTGCTCTCTGGATAATTCACCCTGTAGTAACCATACTGCATAACATTCCCGATGTACCAGCTATCCATGGATTCACCAGGCAATGCATTTTTAAGCTCAACTGAAAGAAAAATATTGTTTTGTTCTTATTCTAATATTTTAGTGTTTTTGTAATAATGTAAAGTTTCCGCAATCTTCTAAATGAAAAAAAAAATAAACTGGATACATATTGTGCGTCCGATGTGCTTTCCTAAACTCCAAACCATAAAAAATGACAGCTAAGGATATATAAGTGCCAAAACACTTTAAGATACAAATATCCATGTTGAGCGTATGCTTTTATTTAGTGCTTGGTTATTATACAATTGTTTAATGCGCTGCAGAAATAAATGTATTGCTAACAGTTTTGACAATCTGCACTTCAACTGAAAGTCTTGAATAACAACAACATGTACGAACTAAAATCATAGGAAAAAGCCCAAAGCGCGCCAGTGAAAGAGGATAATTAGAAAACCAGCATAAGATAATCATATGCATGAATTAGTCTTACTAAATGAGAAGTCATTAGTATTATTCTGATGCTCCATTTCCGCTTCTTTTGTTCTAAATTTCTGATAAAAAAAATTGACAATTCCTCTCAGTATAAAACAGGGAAATGTCTGCTTTCCAATATAAGAGAGGCGAAAGATACGAAAGGGACATTCAAACTCATAAGTCGAAAATAAACTGACAACGCCATGGCTAAAAAAGAAAAAGACAAACAGAAAAACAGAAAAACAATAGTTCACAAAACATAACATAGAAAATTAAAGACTGAGCAACACGAACCCCACCAAAAACTGGGGAACTGGAACATATTCGCTATCATCTGTGAAACGGAATTTCCATAAAGGTCAACCAACTCGTGATGGCGTCAGTAAAATTTACGAAGGGATGAATTCAACTTCACCACTTTGTACTCTTGGTTTAATAGCCTCCTTGTGAGCAACAACTCTCTATCAAGGAAATCATGATAGCAAGTACAAGCCCTGGAATATCGTATCAACTGGGAGATATATACTCCGTATGCAGGCGTTACTGGAATGTTGCTACATAGAAATGGAAATAATTAGACTTCTATCCACCAGATTTTAAATAAGGTAAATTTAAGAAAGTACGGCCTTTTACAATGAGAAAATCCATACCTAATAGTAAGCTCCATGAAAAATGTGAATAAATTCAAACGAGAAAAACTAACGGGCTAATTAATAACAATACAATTTACGAACAACAAAATTGATATGACGAATATGAACCAACAACAACCACATAACTACATGATCATGACTTGGGACAGGCACATTGAGGAATAGGCGGGGGTAAACATGTCTGTGAGCGACCAACTCTTCCTAACCTGGGACAGTGGTGAACCAGCAAAACATCAAAACAAATTGTTAACTGTAGACTTGTTATGTATTCAATTTGCCTCCATGCCTTCATTGTCAAAATCGTCGTAAGCTTCTGTTGAAGGTCACAAATAAGCATTGAATTTAGCAAAAGTAATATGTTTTGCTTCCACTATATGCAGTAAAATTTACTCCAAAATTCTAGAAAAAATATTGTATGACATAGTTACCGATATCTCCATCTTTTCCCATCCAGTTAATATCAGAGTCTGTTTGGTTGAAATTTGAAATTGATTGACTGGTGTATGTAAAGGGTATTTCCCATTTATATCTAAAAATAATAAATAATATAGTTCGAATAGAGAATACAAGATGCACATTATATCTTCCAAAAAATCATGTCCATATATCAACTGACTTGTTGTTAGAAATCTCTACAAACACTAATAGTGATTTACTAAGTTCAGGCGACAGTAGTTCATCGGTGTTCAAAACTACTAAACTGTCAAATACGTCGACAGGGTAAGCGTCATCTGTAATGCAAGCATCACTCATCATACGAATTTAGACTCATAGTCCTATCTTTGTCAAAGGCAATTTCGAGATAAGGCGGTTGTTAGAACCAGCTGGTATAGTTTGCCATACATTAACACTTCAACCATCTTCAAACCCTAAAGTTTGACTACTGGGATATAGAATTAAGTAAAACAACAAAAATACCGAACTCCAAGGAAAATTCAAAACGGAAAGTCCCTGAACAAATGGCAAAATCAAAAGCTCAAATACATCAAACGAATGGAAAACAACTGTCCTATTGCTGACTTGGTACAGGCATTTCCTTATGTAGAAAATGTTGGATTAAGCCATTGATTTTATCAAATTATACGCCTGGAACCTTAAATGAGTTTTTGTAGTTATTTCTGAAACACCTGATAATACCAGCCCATGATTTCACTACATAAGACATGTGTTTAAGAGAAGAAATATTGTTGTTGTTGTACATGTTATTTTCATGTGGAAATACAATCAAGAATGGTAATATGATAAAGTTGGTTGACTGAATTATTTTTGTTGGCTTTATGTCCAGTTTCAAATATTTCGTGCATTTTCAGGACGATGACAAATAACAATATAACAGAAATTAGGTTGGTAAAGTAAAATGAGTCGACCGGGATGAAGGACAGTGAATTTTGAAGGCACTCGACGGTGAAGGTAAATTGTTGATTGAAAGAAATTTAGTCGTGCAATAGGACACATGCTGATCACTCAAATAAAAAGTTGTTGACCGAATATGGTCCTCCCATGCGCTTTCTCAGACCGGCGGTAAAACTGCTATATCAAGGCGTCAGAAACTTCAAAAGGAGCGAGACCGAATGCTTCGACAGAGTAAGCGTCTCCTTCTATGCAACTATCACCGACCAAACAAATTTACAGTCATAGTTCTGAATCATATAAGGCCCGTTCGAGTTAAAGTGGTTGTTGGAACCAGGTCTTAGAGTTCGCCTAACATCCAAATTTCAATAATTTTAAAACCCGACAGGTTGACTTTGGTATAAATATTGTCATCATGCACGTACGTGGTCTTCTACAGATCATCAGAAGAACCCTTGCTAAGAAAGGGGCGTCTGTTTGCCTGTGCTGTATTTTTGATTTTTTTTTTAAATTCGATGCTACTTCCGAAATGCTTAATCCGATGTCTCTTGTGTATATTGTGCTTCGGTAAAAACAACTCTTTATTTGAGTGATCAGAATGTGTCATGTTGCAAGACTAAATTTCTCTCAATCAACAATTTACCTTCACCGTCGAGTGCCTTCAAAATTTACTGCCCTTCATCACGGTAGACTCCTATTACTTTATCTACCAAATTTCTTTTATTGTTATTTGTCATCGTCCTGAAAATGCACGAAATATTTGTAACTGGACATAAAGCCAACAAAAATAATTCAGTCAACCAACTTTATCATATTATCATTCTTGATTGTATTTCCACATGACATCTGAAAATAATATGTACAACACCGAGAATATTTCCTCTCATTAAACACATGTCTTATGTAGTGAAATCGTGGGCTGGGATTATCAGGTGTTTCAGAAATAACAAAAACAGACTCATTTAAGGTTCCAAAACTATAATTTGATAAAAGTAAATATTTTAATGTAGTGTAAACGTAAATCACCTACCCAAACGGTGATGTATATGTGCCTGGGTCTGTAGCATTTGTATCTAGTAGATATCTGGACTGGCTTAGTCTTAAGTTATCTTCTGTTCTCTCCACGAAAACCGTTGGAAAATTCATCTGCAGTGTCCAAGTATCCATGATTTGTTTGACATTTTGAACTCTTTTTGGTTTACCATCTGCTTTGCCTTGCTGAAATTGTATAATAAAAAATATACTCTTTCAGGTAACAATAATGTTCTATGTAATGCATACTCATAGAGTATAATCCCTTTTTGTAAGGCCCATAACTTCCTTTGTGATAATTAGCAGCTTTTTGTATTGTTTAAGCTTTTTCAGTTTCATTTGCTATAAGCTAAATAGCAAATAATGTTTTAGTTAAATTTATATTACACTTTAGTAAAATTAGAGTCCGTTCAACGTTGACGGGATGTTTATTTGGACTATTTATAATCAAACAACGATCAATTTATTGATAGCATTATACTAGTATTATCAAACTGAAACCATAAGTAAGCATGTGCTATGATGAAAAAGAAAAATTGAAAATCCTTGTTTGTTTAAAGTGACAAGTCTAATGGGCATACGGACGTTTATTTCATAGTTGCTACACATATTGCGTAATAGCAACAATCGTATAAAGGTTGATTTCATTACAATGATGTTGAAAATCGACCAATGCTTAAACCTGACAGACGGAATAAACTCTTTTTGTGATTTAAAAGAAAATATTGGAATCATTTTTTTCTATTGTATCATGTCGTTGTCATTCTATATTTTGAAATTGCCATATTATTATTCTCAAGAACTTTCAAATGTCGAACATAATCTTCCATAAGTGACACCCCACCCCCAAAAAAAACCGAATCTACTAACAATTTCAAAACATGAACAAATAAAGACATATATATATATTTCATAAACTACATACTCTAGTTATCAATTAGACAAAAATCCAGTCTGTTGGCATGTATCGACAAGTTAGCGCTTGAAGAGTATAATTTAAATAACTTTTTATGTCAGCACTCTTGGTCTAATGGTATCATGCATCGACTGACAACTGTACTGATTTGCGATGCAAATACGCGCAAGTTCAAACCCTTCATATTAAACTCATTACAGTGGTCATTGGTCTTTTCGGATTGGAAAAATCTCTACAAAAAATCTGTAACTGTTTGAACATTTAGTTGTTATAAAAACCCTACAAAACTGACAAAAATTCATCTTTTTTCGTATTTGAATGTTACAAAATCAATCACAGTCTCATACATGCAATTGTATATGTGCACTTGCATAAGATCGATTACTATCCGACGCAGCTCAGATGTTAATGAGAAAGAAAACAAAGTTCAACTTGTTTGTCATTTTTAGGTTATATTTACTAATATTATTAATTCGTATTTTTTTACTAATTTGATTCGTTCAGAGATTGTCACATGTTAAACTATATTTTCGAAGGTAGAGAGAAAACGGCGGATAGCAAAAAGCATATTGCACACCAAAAAGAATATTGCACGGTCATTTTTAGAATATCTAAAAACCGATATACTTTGTGACGTCATGTAATCAATTTCATGATATTGTTAAAAGTTTATAAAAAAATATCTATGATCGATTATTTGAAGAAAAAAAATCTTCATATACATAAGATGTAAAACTAAATGTAAATGAAATAACAACTTATATGTTGTTATTGTCTAGGAGACAATATGATATCTATAAAATTCCAACAAAATCAAAAAATCAAATCAGGATTTTGATACAAATATGGTCGGAAATTAATAATATAACAATTATAGCCTATTGATGAGGTCAATACAGGATATATCGACCAAAAGAAGTATATCGACGTCGGACTTCGTCCTCAGTCAATATACTTCTTTCAGGTCAATATATCCTTGTATCGACCTCATACAAAGGCTATAATTGTATAATATTTTACAAATGTAATAAAAATAAAATACATCCTTTTGCAAATCGATGATATACATTGGAATTTCTTATAATCAATATTTTTTTTCTGATTGACCAATACCGATACTGATTATTATTATCTTATTTGTCAATATGTTCAAACTAGGAGTGTACAAGACATATAACATGTATAATAAAAAAACAAAAGATATAGGGTATCCATCTATGACACAACATCAGTACATGCAGAGCAAATTACACGCAAAAAGCAAAGCGCTTTTATTACTGTTCTATGTATCTCAAAGTCACAGTGAGTCCTTGAACACGGAGCAACAAAATAACACTCACATCACTGCAAGTTTAAGATGGCCCCAAGACCTGACGTGAGAGGAATTATTTGCAAAAATAATTCGGATAGACTTTGTAAGATGTAACACCACCAAATCGGGCGCGGTCAAAAAAAGAAAACACTGGAAATAAAATATTTAAAACAAAATAGTTCCTACGCATTGGTGAAAATATCAAACTACGAGAATATATTTTAGTAATAAAGGTATCAAATGAAAGTTGAAGGACTGGAAATCCTTGTAGAACACATATTGTATAACCATTTCATAAATGTTGTCTGCCTTATCTACGTTGTAATTCAAGCCAAAAAGTATTTAACATGTTAAAGGGGCTTTAGCTAGGAATTCGAAACAAAAATGTCTCCAACATTATAAAAGTGGATAAAAGAAATAATATTTCGTTGTTAACAGTTTGTTTACTTCAATTTCGTCCAAATCAGATTAAAAAAATCACTGGAGGTGTATAATTGACTTGTAAGTCAATCATTCAACTCATTTGAATCCGTATTCATGTGACCTTTAATTTAACCTTTTGAGAAAAGGGTTGCGCGTGTAATCAACATGTGGTTCAATCATTAAAAAAAGCATGTCAACATTGATAAGTGAAGCAAGTGAGACACAAGTAATAACCATTTTGTTGACTGATCCGGCCCACAAAAATTATCTGATACAGGTAAAACCATGATTTACATATATTTTTAGCCTAAAGTATGAAATCGAAGAGACCTAGAAATATCCTATCGCACGTGGTCGCTTTCTACTTATATTTATATTCAGTCTGCTGTCTTCGGACGTCATTTCGATGGGTAATTAGTTGGCGTCTGGCCTGTAATACGCACGAAATACTGATACAGTATAACAACCTCATGCATTTGTAATAGTTTCTTTTTGAATTTTTGTAATTTGGATATACCTCTTAGTATGTTATGAATAAAATATCAGAATTTGGGTCAAATCGGTGAACATGAATTTCACAGCTAATGCCTCTTTCGGTTATATATAGAACTAAAGATGAGAAATAACTGACAGCTCGACAATTGTCCACCAAAGGCGAAAGAACAAAGATGATAACAACTATAGAACAAATCACGGCTTTCCATAGTTTACACAACCCATACAGTATAGTAAGCTTTAAAAAAGATAGACTTGACAAAATGATTACAATTCATAACTAACTAATTTATGCATGATATACTCATTATACTTATGCTTTTGTCGGAAGTTAATACATATACTTATTATACTGAATTTACTGAAATACATGCGAAAATACCTAGGGTGTCTTTTTGAACATGAATTGAGTTCTAATTTTTTTCAAAATTAAGAATGTTAAGAATCCATACCTCTGATAAAGCTTTCCATAAATCGTCATGAAAAGCAGATCCGTACGCTAGTTCTTTAAGATATCTCTGCAAAATTTTCAAATTGCATATTAAGTGTTTAGTTGTTAATGCAATGTTAACCAATGAAAAGACCAAATTGTTTGTTTAATATAAGAAGCATAAATATTCTCTATTCTTTTTTAAGATATTATATAAATATAAGAAGATGTTGTATGATTGCCAACGAGACAACTCTCCACAAGAGACCACATGACACAGAAACTAACAACTATAGGTCAATGTATGGCCTTCAACAATGAGCAAAGGCAATACCGCATATTCAGCTATAAAAAGCCTCCAAATGACAAATGTAAAACAATTCAAACGAGAAAACTAGCGGCCTAATTTATATACACAACAATGAACTGAAAAACAAATATGTTACACGGCAACAAACGACAACCACTGAATTAAAGGCTCCTGACTTAGGACAGGCACATACAGAATGTTGCGGGGTTAAACTAGATTGAGGGCGCAAACCCTCTTCCTAACCTGGGACAGTGGTGTAACAGCACAACATAAGAACAAACTATACAAATCAGTTGAAAAATGCTTAACTCAACAGATGGATGCAAGTAGAAATACATCTAACTAAAACACAGAGTTGACATGCCAGGGCACTTCTACATCCCAACAACAAAGACAGTAAGTACAGATCTGAGAGTACTCGCAGTTACTGACAGCTAGTTCAAAGCCAGTAACAACTAATAAAAAAAATCATGCATCTAAGACTAAAATATCAATCAGTTTACATTCAACATCCAATGGATTAAGTGCAACGACGTCATCAACAGTCAGATAAAAAACATGACCTTGTGCAATGCCAAGATACAGGAAACGACAGATTATAGAGCCATGAATGCATATGTATAAAAAAAAACAGTAAAGTTTGATTTTAATTTACTGATAACAAAATCAATAATTATACCAATAAAAACAATATTCGAAGATCTAATTACAGTGCTGAATTGGTAACCTCTTAGAATAAGTTTATTTAATGGATCGATACGTTTTCCCGGATTGATTCCTAATTTCCGGGAACGGTAATTAACATCTCCGTAAAAATTAGGATGTGCTACCCTGTTTGAAATAAGTTTTCTACTGGTACAACCAAACTTTAAAACCAAATCTTTAAATCTATGGAAGAATTTAGTAAAGATTTCAAGTAATTTGTGGTAATGAAATCCCTGACTTAATAATTTACCAGTAATACATAGATTACGTTCATTGAAATCCAAAACGTCACAACAGACACGGGCATAGTGAACGAGTTTTGATATATAAACAGCGTAAGATGGAACCAAAGGAACATCACCGTCCAAAAAAGGAAAATTAACAACAGGGAACGAAAAATCGTCCCTTTTATCGTAAATTTAGTGTAGAACTTCCCGTGTAAACCTGAAATATCTAAATCTAGGAAAGGACAGTTACAGCCCTTGGATGGTGTAAACTTCCCAATAAAACGTGTATGGTGTAATGATGTATTGCATATGGTGCAATGGTAGAAGGTGTATGGTGCTATGGTGTATGGTGAAAGGGGAATGGTGTAATGGTGTAACGTGCGATCGGGAATAGTTTGAATGAATGGTGTACGACATTTAAAACTATGCAAAATATTAATAAGAACTGATTTTTAATTTTATACATTAACTTACAATATTTTGTGATCAAAATTCGTTTTTTAAAATAAATAAATAATTTTGAAGTCGCACGCTTTCTTTGAAATTAAATTGCATTATGGTGTAATGTGTAAGGTGTATGGTGCAAAGGTGTTACGTGCATGGTGTAATTACACAGGGTGTATGGTGTAATGGTGAATGGTGTAATGGTGTATGGTGTTAGTGGGAAGTTTTCACCATCCAAGGACTGTATTACCGTTTATATTTTATATAGATATAAGAAGATGTGGTATGAGTGCCAATGAGACAACTCTCTATTCAAGTCACAATTTGTAAAAGTAAACCATTATAGGTCAAAGTACGGCCTTCAACACGGAGCCTTGGCTCGCACCGATATGTTCACCACATTCTCGAATTCGAATGTAAGCTATCTCTGAAGACACCGTTAAGCTGCATCCACACAACGGCTAATGACAAATGGATTGTGACGTTATATTTAACATTCAGTATAAAAAGTGTTACATTGACTAAGTTTATACAAGAAAGGTGATGAATATTATCCAGTCTGCCTTCGCCATTTTACACCCAAAACGACAAAAATTACACATAAATGTATCACTTTTATTAAATAGAGAGATGGCTCAAAGGTGGTTGCTTTTTATTGATATACTTTGTAAACGTTTGCGGTATACACATGCACTTTAGTGATGCTGTCTTTCTGCAATCGACCTAAAATCTCCTGTATTTAACAAACTTACTTGAAGCCCCTTTTTGAATGTTTCTTCTCCAAGAAAGAACCTCATCATTCGTATAATAGTTGAGCCCTGAAATACATAGTTTTGTTAAGATGTAATGCTAGAAATATGACAATTAGTTAAAACCATCCATTTCCGAACCTTTTCCGTATGAAATTTGAAACAATTCTTTTCAATGTGAATATAAAGTTTAAGTCAAAACAAATCCCTTCCGTATGAAATATTAAAATTGAATGAAAACGTACCTTCTCGTAGGAAATTTGATCAAAAATTTCATTGATTTGACTTGGATTAGAAACTGGTACATAGAGTGGATGTGAGGTAACCAGACCATCCAAATTGAAAACGTCTTGTAAATCGTCAACCACAAATTGTTCAAACTAGAAAAATAAGAAGTATACGTTTGCAATTTATACCACTATATACAACTGTAACATATAACATAATACGACTGAATAATATAATTCATTCAAAATTACATTGTTTGTATTTTTCACACATATTTGCAGATTTCTTTGAACATTATTAGTCAAACGGTCTGCATTTTTTAAGGTTTAAGAACACAATTACTATTTTCTGAAATAACATTCTCTATACAGTCAACAAACTAATAAGTTTAATTCTTAGTTTTCACGTGAGTTATTTTGTGTGGGTCCCTTTTGATACATCTACAAAATGCATGTATTCGTTCAATTTTTGCTCTACACAGTTTTTGCTCAGGATTGTTTTGGTGAATGGAAAAGAGCAACACACGTCAAATACAGCAAATACAATGTTTTACATCGATTTCAAAACTTTGCATGATACATAATAAATGAGATAAAAAAAATCAGACTATTCGTAATAAATGTTAGTCCTCTTTAGAGAGCGGTGAAATATATTAAAGGGACATTCAAACTAATTAGTCGACTATAAACTGACAACGCTATGGCAAACACTGAAAAACAAGACCAATAAACAAACATCATTATACAAAACACAACATAGAAAACTATAGACTAAGCAATACGAACACCACCAAAAACCGGTAGTGATCTCAGGCCCTTCGGAACGGTAAGCAGATCCTGCTCCACATGTTGTACACGTTGTGTTGCTCATGTTAGTACACACCCGGTGATAAGTCCAATTCGGTAGGTCACATTCGGACAAAAAGAGGACGGGATTGTGGTAACGAAGCTTTGAAAATATCCATTTCATCCTTGAAACAGTTATTTCATAACGTACAACGGACTCGGTGAAAGTTTTAAGAGGGATTATTTCAACTTTACCAATTGAAACTCTTGGTTTGATAATTTCCTTGTAAGCAGCAACCCTCTGTCAAGGAAATTTTGATAGGAAATGCAAGCTCTGAAATATCGTATCAACTAGGAATATATACTCCATATGCAGGTGCTGATAAACGTGCAATGGTAAACCAACTCATTAAAGATACCAGGGTTATAATTGTGTACTGTGCGTATCGTCTACAAAAAGTGACGCTCGAATACAAAAGTTAATAAACCAAAACTTCACAAAGGTTTAGCCAAGGAAAGGTAAGATAATCTATATCTGTGGTAGAAAATCCTTAGTATTTCGAATGATTTAAAGTTTTGCAAACAGTTAATAAATAGATATGACAATATCAAGGCTAATGCATGTCAACACGGAAGTGCTGACTACTAGGATGGTGATTTTAATATTCCTTTTTACAGGACAACAGTATAATTGATCTTCTTGTTGTATTTCTATTGTATAAATATAGATGTGTTACATACCATCAGCCAATCTGGATGGACGTGGTCGACTCCCATATATTCAAAAAAGCTGGCAAATCCTTCATTTAACCATAAATCATCCCACCAAGATGGTGTTACTAAGTTTCCAAACCACTGTAAAATAATATGTGTACTGTACATTCAGATTTTAATGCGTACATTAATTATTGCGAATCTTTGCATAACTTTCAATAAATTGTATTGCAATTATAAATACTAAAGGTTATCTTAAGAAGTGTATTGATGCGTTTTCACATCAATAAACTTTAAGGGAAATTGAATTTCTGCTTAAACTGTCGCATTAAGTATAACAATATTATCGAAAGGCTAATGTTACTGTGTTAATGTTTAACATACTTGTAACTTTGAATCAATAAATACAGAAGAAGTCAGAGGGTATATTCAATGAAATAAGTAGTAGCCAATTTCCCCTAAATGTCTTTCACTCACAGCGTCAATGTTCCAAAAGTAGTTAAAACCTACTGACATTAAGAGATTAATTGTAAATAGTTTCCAAAATCTACGGATTTAGACGTTTAAGCCATCTTACGGCATTTAAAATCCAATGGTATGTTCGGGAATAACTGTTGGTAGATAATCAAAGTACACTTATGTCACGGTAGGTATAGTGTTAGGCTGAGATCTTTTTTTTTTAGTGAATCGGTCCTTTTTTCGAGTGTAGATCAGGTTTTTTTCGAGTGATATTACATGCGATCAGATCAATTTACTGCTTTTTCGCGTATATGATAGTTTTATTTATGACTTTTCATCTCATTCTGAATATTAAACATTTTCTGAGCACAAACGACGCAAAATTTCTTGTAGTGCACTAACAATTCAGTGTTTTACATTGTCCGTGTTTATGTGAATAAGAGAGAAAGCATTCTTGGGCTTCAAAACTAACTTTTTCTAGCTTGTAACTGTAATATATATTCCAAACGAGTAGACAAACATATTAATATGTTGATCAATTTAACCCTTTTCAATTTAATGATAATTTTCTGTTCTCAAATTTTCCACAACCTTGCATTATTAAGATATATGAGAAATTACTGGATTTTTTGTAAAACTTTCTTTAGAACCGAGAACAGGGGACTCGTAATCTTTTCAATATAATTTCATGCTACAATATTTTTTACAGTAAATGATAGTTTATGAATAATATATATTGCAGCGGCGAAACCTGGATTTTAAAAGTAGGGTTAAGAAAACAAAGAGACAGAAGTTATAAATTCAGTAAAATGCAATATACCACACATATGCTTCTAAAAGAGGCCTGGGACCAGCAAAGCCCTACTCCCATCTACCCTCCCCCCAAAAAAATAAACCTAATCCGCCCTTGTACTATTTCTTATTGACCAAAATGTTGCTAAATATCTGTCCTACCGCGATGACACATGTGTTGTTCTTCCCGCAGATAAAGCCCAAAACAACATTGTGTTTTTGTGTAATTCACATTACATAAACTGCTTGATAAAAAAGGGATATTGGCAATTCACATAGAAACTCAACATATACCCTAACTATACTTACCAAAGAGGAAATTCTGAATAATCATAAGTTTGTTTTTTGTTCTTTTGAATTTCAACCAAATTTGACGAAATGTATTGGATGCCTCAACTAAATAAGTGTCTCTACACACAACTTTGTATTACTGAGTCTTCCATTTAATTGCTCCACGAAATATATTTCTAAATTATTAACATAAATTTTATCAGCAATCAAAACCAGGTATTGTGAAACTATCTACTCTAGGGGAGTTGCAAAGCAGATGTGCATACTAAAAAAATCAAATATATAGGTAAGGGCTCATACAATTTAAATCTTTTTCCTCTTGCAATAGTATTAGAATATTTTCCTTTTCTACCCTTTACACAAGTATTTTCCATTGCCAAGAAAAATTGAAATAATTGGTTATCCTTTGTTAAATCAAAAATAATGGTCAACGTAGATACAATATAAAATTGAGAATGGAAATGGGGAATGTGTCAAAAAGACAACAACCCGACCATAGAGCAGACAACAGCCGAAGGCCACCAATGGGTCTTCAATGCAGCGAGAAACTCCCGCACCCGGAGGCGTCCTTCAGCTGGCCCCTAAACAAATATGTATACTAGTTCAGTGATAATGGACAACATACTAAACTCCAAATTATACACAAGAAACTAAAATTAAAAATGATACAAGACTAACAAAGGCCAGAGGCTCCTGACTTGGGACAGGCGCAAAAATGCGGCTGGGTTAAACATGTTTTTTGAGATCACAACCCTCCCCCTATACCTCTAGCCAATGTAGCAAAAACAAACGTACAACAGTACGCACAGTAAAACTCAGTTTAAGAGAAGTCCGAGTCCGATGTCAGAATAGGAAACAAAAGAAAATACACAAAATGACAATAATACATTATGAATAACAACAGACTACTAGCAGTTACTGAAATATCTTTTTTTAGGAAATGATAAATTGTACTTTGGAAATGATAACAAAAAAGCAGAATGACATAAAAATGCAGACCTCCCTCCCTGCAGAGCTTCTGGTGTAAGAGAAGATCAATATGACATATTCGAAATAATTGAAACTTACTTGATGTGCCAATTCATGTGAAACGACTACAGCTACTTTCTTTTTGTTGGTTTCTGATGACTCCATTGGATCATACAACATGGCCGTCTCCCTGTAAACAATTAGTCCCCAGTTCTCCATAGCACCGGCAACAAAATCTGGTACAGCTATCATGTCTGTAATATAACATATACATAAAAATGATATACGAAACAATGAAATAAAATTAGGTGATTACTGGGCGAATTTTAAGCTGGGCACTTACTATTTACCATTTACCAGCAATGGAAACAACATGGTGGTCTTGTCTCATCGCGTGATTTGCATGTTCTTATTGACACCCTTTAGCTTTATTCTATTTTTTTTAATCGTCTTTTTCTATATTTGTAATGTTTTGGTTTCTGCAGGATTTGCCTGTAAAGTTTCATGTAAAGTTTAGAATAAAAAGGTTATGTGTTCAGAAATTATGCAATCGTTTAAAAATACAGTGCGTTTGAAATTACCTTTGAAAGTTTAAAATTAGACAACAGCTTGTGGCGACACTCGCCACGAACTTAAAACTAAATAACTTATTCTATCCATTATTGTGAACAGATGTTCTACCGTTATGATTAGGACATTACGGACCGTTCAAAAGTCGGAAGATCTAGTGGCGCATAAAAACTGACCTGTCACTATTGTTTTTAAACACCGTTTTTTATACAAAGTCAATTAAGTAATCGCAAAATTATATATAAAACGAAATCACTAAAATAACAACAACTATAAAAGAAAACGGTGGAAAAGTTGGATTGATAAATTGATAATATTGTATTGTCGAACGCATGGCTAGGGTATGATTTACAATCATAATTTATTTTGTATATTGAAGAAACATTTGCTTAAGATATAAGCTCCCATACCTGATTTTGGTAGAGGGAATGGAATATCAAAGTATTCTTCAAAGTAGGTTAGGATCTTGACGCCAACATCTAAGGAATATGGAGTCTGATCAACCGCCTCTGAGCGTGCCCAGGCTCTATACTACAAATATATTATATGTCATTGGATATTTTTAGTCTAATAAAAATGCATTACTTTTATTTTATGTATAGTGCTTATCGAAGATAAAAGTAAAAGCGTACATGTAGTTATCAATTTTATTATAATTCTTATACGATTTGCATATCTTCAAATTACTAAATATGTTTGATCCGTCCAAATTTCTGTTCTTGGTTTGCACTTCAACTGATCATGTTCACAGAAATACTTCCTTTGAATATGTGAACACTGTGTCGATTTAACTCTTATGTTTTCATGCGCAATACAGAATCAATGTAATGCTAAAGTTACAAGAGAGGTGAATTTTAGACACAAACATGTTTGTATTGTGAATTATAAGGAACAAACACATATTTTAAGAGGTTATTGGTCTGAAAACTGGGCCGATGCACTTCATAAAAGTCCTATACAGCTGTCATTTCTATTTTGTTCTGTTTGCATAAAGAATACATGCAAAATATAAGTCAACATTCAAATAGGCCATTAATAAAGTTTTCTAACTCTTCTGGGGATCATTTGTTTTGAATCCTGCAAAAAGGTGTGTTTTGTTCTTTAAGTATCTTCTTACTTTTATAATTCTTTGTATCACGAATATATACAGATCACTAACCTCTACGTTATTTTTAGTGATGTTTACTGTGTATTTGAAATCACAGATAATAAAAGCCAATAAGTAAGTTGACATCTTTGGTGTGACTTCATAGTAATCGGCAATCCATCCATTTTCCCTAGAAAATACAACAAATATCTTAAGCATGTATATATATGTTGTGTACAAGTTGTAATTTCGTACAAATTATAATTTGTACAGGGTTTTTGTACAAGTTATCAGTATTTTGACACACACCTTCTTTCACCAAGTGATACAAGTTTATATTCAATAATTATCCAGTTCGATGTTTTACTCACAAATTTATGTACTTCAACCTAACATTAGGTACTGTCCTCTATGTCATAAAACTACAAATAAGGACACCTGATTGGTTTAGATTATATTTTTATTGTTTTACTAATACCAAATTCTATGTCCACAAAATACGTTTTAGTGTTTTTGTTTAAACTTTGTGTTAGTACTATGTGCAAGACTGTAGCATGTAGTTGTGGAAATAAAACAGTGATAAGCTTAACCAACGACTCTGTGCTTATTTTATCTAATTATGTAAAGAGATTCATAAAATACTGATAACTTGTACAAAAATACTGTACAAATTATAATTTGTACAACATTAAAATTTGTACACAACATATACATGGCCATTTCATATGGCATGAAACATCTAAAATTATCTCTCAATGGGAATAATCAGTCCCATTATGTACTCTATGTTATATTTCCAAATCAATATACCAAAAATATAGAACTCTAGGTAAATTCCAAAAGGGTAAGTCTATTAAAAATGACAAAATAAAACGTTATCTACAAATGAAACAAGTGGAAAACAATTGTCATATCCCTGACTTGGTACAGGCATATCCGACGAAAATTGTGGTTTAAACCTGGTTTTATAGCTTAAAAACCTCCTATAAAAATTGCAAAAGGGCACAGCAAAACAATCAAAATAACGAAAATTACATCAATGTAATAAGATTTTTTTATTTTTGGTGTATAAACTATAAAATAACTTAATATGCAGTTCTAAAAAATGTATATTTTAGATTGTGCTTGACAGTCGGATATAAGGAAACTTGAATATTAAAGAAATATCCATTATTTATTTTTCTCACCTGGCTATATTATTGATAACTGGCGTGTTTGACAGTGAAACCATGGGTTGTTTTCTAAGAAGTGTAATTTTAAATTGTGCTTTGACAGCCGGCTCATCAAAACATGGGAATGTTTTTCTGGCGTCTGTTGGCTGCATCTGTGTTGTGGCAATGTAACTGATAAATATCGAATGATACAGTAAATCATTATTATGTAAATTGCATGAAAAATCATAAATAAAGTACATTGAAAAGATGTACAAGGAAAAAAAGAATTACAATGATTAAAATTTATTTGCATATTTCAAAATAAAAATAATAGTAATAAATGATATGTTGGCGTGTTTTTATTTTTTTCAAGCCAGGATGATTTTGTTATTTCAATGGTGCTTGTTTTTCAATGATATTAAGTAGACAATAATTTACGACTACAACAAAAGCCAAGAAAAAAATTATTTTTTGTTTTGTTTTCATCGATATTTGATTTCCCTTTCTTGCATTCTACACTGTTCAAATCTATAATTTCTACTTACATTGTATCATTTCCATGTTGGTAAGAACTTTGATAAAACCCAGCCATATCAGCGAGCAAAGGTCCACTGAACTGAATGTAAAGAGAATAGCCCGACCCACTTACAAATTGTGTATTTGATTTCAAAATCAGGAACTGATTGACAGTATCAAACTCAATTGTAGGAATAATTGGTTTTTGTCCAGGTGACATTGGCTCTATTCTAACAGAGCTTGTCGTGATGATAAGTTTATTGCTGTGCAGAACTATTTCGTTTGTCGATCTTCTGCATTCCATATCAATCTTAAGTTTTCCTTTGAAATAAAAGTCTGCTGGATTGCTTTCATATATAAAAGGTTGAAGTTCAAGCTCATATAAAACTGGATATAAATTGAGTGGTAAACGAACACTTCGCACCCCGGATGGCTTTATAGTTCCATTTGGTGGTGTTGTAGTTGTAGTTTTGTTCTGTGGGAACCACGTAGGTTGCCATTGTCCAACATCACCATATTTTGTCGTTGTTCTGTCTGCAAGTAATTATGCGTATCGATAACACTTCTTGTGTTTGAATAGTTAAAATGATTATAAAAATATTACGAATATGAAAATAAAGAGATGTGGTATGATTGACAATGAGACAACTATCCAAAAATGTTCAAATGAAGTGAATGTAAGCAATTATGAGCAACCGTATGGCCTATAACAATGAGAAAAACCAATACCGTATAGTCGGCTATAAACGGCCCCAACATGTAAATATGAAACAATTCAATTGATAAATTTTACAGCCTAATTTATAACAATACCGTTTAGTAAAAACAAATATGACAGACGTAAACCAACGACAACCAACTAACAACATGCTCCTGATTTGGAACAGGCACTTACGGAATGCGACGGGTTACACATAGTTTAGTAAATTTTGAAACCCATGTATCGTTTATACTTTTAGAGAATATTGTAGTGTGACAATTAATTGGAAAAAGAGGTGTACTAAATATACACAAGAGAAAACAGTTACATGTTTAAAAATGTTAAAAATGAAAACAAAATTTCTGTCGTTAAGCATTACGATATTAGAAACGACAATTCATCACAGAGACAAGGATTAAAATTGTATACGCCAGACGCGTGTTTTGATTACATAATTGCAATTATTGTTCGACTCCGATCTTAATTGAGAATGATTTCAGTTTTCCTGCCGAACGTCGGTATTTCTCTCCGGTTGATTTAGATTGCTACACCAATAAAAGAAAATGTCTCCAATGGTTTAGCCAATATTTAAATATAAAAACCAACAAACAGACAAACATTTATTTATGACATATGTGAATATGAACTATTATTTTAAACAGACCTTGTAGAGTATAGTCCACCAATACAAATAGAAGTAGTATTTTCATCATCATCAAAATTCGCAAACTGCCTCGATGTACAGAATTGTATAGCAACAGCTGTAATCAACACTAATAATCAAACCATGATTATAAATCATAATATGCCTTGAAGGCCTTTGAATTCTAAAATTACTAGCATAAACATATCAAATACCTACCAGGTATTAGTTTGATCGATATCAATTTTATGGGTCATTTTTAAATATTATATAACTGATTCATACTTATTTTCTTTAGATAATCAGACGTCTTGTATTTCTAGAAAACTTGGCAATAATATTCACAAGCAAAGACTTTGCAGTATTTTGTATAAAATAAGACGATGTGGTATAATTGCCAATGAGAAAACTCTCCACCAGAGGCCAAAATGACGTAGTAATGCAGTTAAATGATCATTCGTGTGAAAATGTACATTTAATTGCTGCTTTTCATTGACTATCACAAATTAAGCAACCAATGTCTTTCTTGTACACAAATGATGGAACTTTTATATCTAAATTATGATTTGTTACAAATGTTTCAATGAAATTCACATATTTGAATTAAAAAAAATCATGTAATATCTGTGTTACCTCGCACAGATTTATACTCTTGCAGAAAACATGTGATTTAAATGTGCACAGATAAATGTTGTACACGAAATTGTTTTGCTGGACGTTTATCATCCATAACTAACTATCAAAATAATAATAAAGTTTTAAAGTTAATAAAAGTACATCATCGATAAAATTTTACACAGTATGAAAAGTGCACTACATTTTCTGTCAAGTTTGTGTTGTTCCTGAGAAAAAGGGCGATACGATAGCGAGCGAGGAGACAATCAGACACCGTAGGTCAATGTAAAGTAAACAAATCCGTTGAAAAAAAAAAAACGTCGAAAAACAAACAATAGTTTAAAAGTTAGGCGGAAGGAACTAAAGGAATATTCACGCTAATAAGTCGAAAACGAACTGACAATGTCATGGCAAAAAAAAAAACGAAGGTAAAAAACCAACATTCCACAACATAGGAAACGAACGATCGAGCAATTCGAATCCGTGACACGTGGAGTACATTTTCCTGTCATATGTTGTTGCCGAACCTAGGAAAAAGGGCGACAAGATACCAAGCGAGGGGATAATCATAAACCGTAGTTCAATGTAATACAAACAAAACAGTGGCAAAAAGAATGAATAAAAGACAAACAACAGTTTAAAAGATAGGCGGAAGATACCAAAAGAATAGTCAAACTTATAACTCGAAAACAAACTGACAATGTCATGGCAAAAAATTAAAAACGACCATAAGACAAACAACACTCCACAAAACACATAATGTGAAACTAATAACCGAGGAACACGAACCCCAGCAAAACGAGTGAGCTCCAATTAACTTCTGTTTTAAACTTCTTTCAGGATTCTCTTTTTTGTCGTAATGATACATAACTTAAACAAAATGTAGGCAGGAATACAACCGAGAATAAAAGTAAAATGGAAAGGTGTCAGATCTTTGTAAGAAAGGCGTGGACAAATGTTCTGTAATATAATCAGATTCGGAGAAATCGTTTGTGTTTCTCGGAGAATATTGAGATTTGTGGTAAATACCTATGCCGAGTAAAATGCAAACAAAACAAAACAGAGGACCAAAATTTATATAACAAAACTTTAGTTCGCAACACATTGTTTATTGGGATTGAAGGATGGGATTCGAAAGAAAGAAAGAGAACATTTGTAACTCATATTTTACAAATTCAATAAAACAAATATCTATAGAATGGTTTTTGCTGAAAATCGTTAAAAAAATCAAATAGTATTTTTTATCATTTTACTATTAACATAATTAAATAAACACTAAATCTTAACAACAACTTATCAATCAAACCTATTTAATCGAGAAACAAACGAATACCTGTATAAATACTTATTTACTTAGTGTATTCGAACCTTGCGTTAATAACTAGAAACATGTTTACTTAATATTCATTACTGAGTAAATTTGCTCCCTAGCCTACACATAGGTTTTCAGGTTTTCAGAAGTAAAAGAACTAAATGTCATTTAGTCATCAATTTCAAATCAGTTATACGTTCGTGTTCCTTAATATTAAAGATGGAATACATGTACTTGCTTCGTAAAAATCAGTTTGAAGTCGTAATGGGCCGAAATACTTACAACATAAATAGTGTAAAATGTTAAAAGTTACAAAGAGAATTGTCATATATTGAGGTGATGTACATGATGTACATACAAGTAGTCTTATTATATATGAACCAAGTTTAACAAATCGATCTCTTATATTAGTATTGCTCAAATTGTCTCATTGATATAAAATAAATACTGTGTGATCGTGAAGGTTAGGACAAGGTTGTTTCCCTACTTGCAACAGTTTCCTGGCCCTTTTTTAAGGCTTTTTTTTACTTTTTTTAATCAACCAATACGAAGTATATTTTACGTTTTGTCATATGTATTTCCTACATGATTATTTAGTTTAGTTTTCTACTCTATGGCTCACGTACATTTTGTCATTTTCACCAACCAACGATGAGATGGAACACATAATGCATTGGTTTGAAAATTTAAAATGATTGTCACCAAGACATACATAGTTCAACAATGTTAATAATAAACCACAAAGATAGATTCCAAATGTAGGCAACAGTAGTTTACCGATGTTCAAATCTCATAAATCGACTAAGGAGAAATAACCAAGGTATCAAACACAAACTGAGGCACAACTGAACAAGAGGCGAGATCTAGTGTAAATAAGTCACATAAGTAACATACTTATTGGAATAGAATATCTGTTATAGAGATTTGAAATGTTTTGCCAAAGGTAATATGATCAAGTTCTTATTTGTAAAAATATATATCTCATTTTAAAATTGCGTCTTTAAAAGATTCTTAGAGTCGAGCAGTTCAGAGATTTGTACAGGAAGGAAACACGATATAAGATTGACGAAATTTACAGACATTTCTCATTGTTACAACGTTGCCTACATATAATATAAAATGGGAATAAGGGATAATATATGAAGTAAATAAATAATATAAACGTGAAAAAACATAGCACGAAGACCATTAAAGGAAAGAAAAAGACTAAAATAGGTCTACAACAGAAGTACACAACGCACAAAACAAGACCGATCAACATAATCCGTACTTAAACCCAAAGGAGAATTTAGGCTCGATAAGTAGATCCTGTTCCACTCATGAACGGTAATTTATAAAGGGTAAACTTTTTGTTAATATTCGGAAGAGTAAAAGGGATTCCACATATACCTGATTGCTGACAATTTGCAAGTAAAAATGAACATTATATACTTGTTCGTGGTAGTATTGTATCAACCTAAATATTTAATTTATCACTCGTCACCTGGTTATTGAATTGTTATTACTATGCCAAGTTTTAACTGCAATAAGTTCGGTTTAAGCCAGGACTGACACAAAGTCCTGTAGGCATACTAACGTATCTAAAACCTACCTGCTGGATACTATGTCAATAAGGAAATGTTGAAGATTTAGCTAAATGACACACTTTAAGGTAACGTTCCGTAATCTAATTTTATCAATACTGTTTTACACATATGTTACATAAAATACTGATAAGGTTTTGGTTGGGAAAAATGTTTTATCGATAAAAGAAAAGAAAAAAATTCAAATCTCTTCCTTATTCTAGTGAAATTTAACAAGCATATGGATATTTGTTCTCACGTTTCTAATTTCACTCGCTTGATATACTTCCTAATCAATTTATGCGCACAAATCAAAGTTTAATGTTGTATAACATGAATAACATGTATAATGCAACACGAGAAAAACATTTTATCCTTAAGCCGTGTTTTCTTTTTTCTTTACATTTAATTTGCTATTAGATAAAAAAAGGACATTAGAATAAAAAGGAGACAAGATACGAATTATTAGTCTAATAAAATCAGTCAATAACAGAATAAAAGATCATAAAGCGACTAAAAGACAAACACAAACAAAAATTAAAGAACCTTAGTGAGCGCGCTCACATTCCCCACGTCCCCACATTGTCATTGGAGAAATAAAATAAGTGTAAGAAAAAGAAATTGTATCAGAGGTGAACTCAAATGGCTTGGAGATGGAAAAGCTCCTAGTACATACTGAAGTTGAATTCGTGATTTTGCACGCTAACATTCCGCTATATCCTGTCGGTCTTGTATACAATATATTAATATTCAGCTCTTTTCCGTCCTGACTGACATGGTTACAAATGTTAAAATAACGTTTTATAACTATCTATCCAACCATCCATGCTAAAAGACTATGTGTTGCATGTGCACCTACCAAACAATAGGATGAAATATTGCTTAAAAGTAATAGATCAGAATGAGCAAGGACCAAATTGTAAAATGTAGTTACAGCAGTAAATATTCGGACATAAAGGTTTACACAACTTGCGTATATTTACCATCATATAAAAACAATATAATTTTTTCGAACGAGTGATTGAAATTCGAAACATTCGAGTTTACTCTGTAAATTTATACTAAAAACGTGTTTACCTTTTAGTAAATTAAAATCTGATAATCAATGTATTATCCAATTCAAATCAATTATTTCGGCGTATATTGATTTTTCATTACTATATTTAACTCGGTTTTGATACGTTTGTTGACGATGATATTTAAGTTGCACCGTCTAAAAAGAAATGACAACAAACTTTATATTTCTACTCCCCGTAGATTAACCAATCTATGTATGAACGCACATGCAAACATCAGACATGTATTTTAGATTGAATAATAACGTTAAAGTGAAAAGCAATTGCTAAGTATATGTTAGTTCATTCATTCTTATAGTCAAATGCATTACTCGTATTAATGTTTTTAATTTAGTATTGTATAACAACTGAAGGAAAAATTTTAGAAAAGGGATGGCACATGTTTTTACTCGAGGGAACTAAATTGAGTATTTAGTTACGATTTAATTTTTTTTAGATTTAAGTTATTGACTGTATTATTATAATAATAATTGTAATTTACTAAAGATAAACACCTTTGTTGCCGAAATTTATAAAGCTTATTAGAATCATTCTAAATATCAACAATTGCTCGTTCGGAAAAGTGTCTTGTTTTTATATATAAGCACGATTTAATTATGACGGGTGTCACAGGTAGAGTAGAATTTGACCAACACGTTCCGGAGCACCTGAATTTCCAACAGCCAAAGTTTACATACAACTCGTAGGTTTATTAAGAAATTATTGACAACGTTTCAAGAATGTATTTATATAGGCATGCAGTATAACCTCTTCCGTCGTGTTTTTTTTTCTACTTTTAAATTATGTTGCACCCTACATTAATAAAGGTACTAAAAGTAAGCAGTTAGCAACCACACAACATGAATAACTAAAATACATCAATAGGTCAATAAAACATCTTCAACAATAGTCATGTAGTTATACAGTTAAATGATGTGATAAGAAATTGAACAGAAACTTTTAAAGATATGCAATCAGCACTTTATACTCCCATTACAAAAACTAATACAACGTTAAATAAGACTTACCGACAGGTGCAGTCGTAACTAACTGTGAAACCAGAACAGAGAACACCACTGATATAATAAATACATGATTCATTATATAATGACTTAAAAATAAATAGGGACAAGCCTGTTTATATGACGTAGTGCCATCCTACACATTTCTGTCAGAGACTGTACTTCATTGAATATTCATACATACAGCAACGGTACAAGAAGAAACAATATCTATGACAAACTGTACTGAATTGCAAGATAGAAACACAAAATAGATATTTATCATTGCTTCAATTTATAAATTAAGATAAGATTACTTTAGCTGTATTTGGCAACACCTTTTGCAATTGTATGTTCCCAATGCTCGTCAACATCGTACTTGTTGGCCTTTTTTACTTTTTGGATTCGAGGGTCACTGATAAGCCCTTCGTAGACAAAACGAGCGTCTGGCTTACAAAACTTTATTCCTTGTATCTATGATGAGTTTATTTATTGAACTGATGTTTATTCAATGTACAACGATGATAATTATAATATTGACAATGGAATAATAATAGTGAGGCGGAAGATACCAAGAGGATATTTCAAAGTCGATGACAAAATGACATAGCCAAGGCTAAAAACGGAAAACGACCAAATGACAAACAACAGTATACGAAACACAACATAGAAAACAAAAAACGTTCAACAAGACCCTACAAAAACGGGGGTTGATCACAGGTCCTCCGGAATAAGAGGCACATCCTGCTGAACATGGGACACACGTCGCGTTAATATAATAGTTCAAACTCAATGAAAAACAACACCTACGTTCACCATTGGCGGAAAAAAACTTGCATATTTTATTTTTAGGAGTCTTTGTACAAACTTTGTTTTCTTCTCATTTCAACTAAATACAAAAGTTTGTTACTTGAAGCGATTGTACGCATGTGCATAGAAATACGAATGCTCTGGTTGTATTCATTAATCACACATTTAAACGTGAAGAAATATCAAAATGAATAACTATTAGAATTATTCATTCTCTCAGGGTTACAGATGCTATGTTATACATACAAAGCATGGCAACCGGCTGAAAATGTAACGTCGTTACATATTTGAAAAATAAAAAAGGATAAATGATTAATGACGCTTTTTGCAATAATGATATTTTAAATAAATAATCGTTTTGATGAGTTGTTTATGATTATGTTTTAATACCAGAATGTCATCAAATATTTCTAATCTGTTTATGTTCACATGCATTTTGAAAATGCCAAACTGATTATGATTGAAAGTTAAATTATTTATTTTACACAATTTTGCAATTTTATACTTAAAAACATATGTAAATAATAAATTGTCCATAATTGAGGTATATATAAGTAAATGTCACGTCATTTTTCGTCACAATTATTGCTTGTTGAGGGATAGACAATCCGTTTTGTTTATGTGTTAATATTTTCATAACTATAATAGTAGCAATTTTAAACTGAGGTGTAAAACAGATTATATCTATGCCTTTCTTTTTTTTGTCTTCGACAGAAAACTGTTAGAGGGCTCGGTAAGCTTCACCTTTCCCGAGCTTCTTACTATATACAAAAGTTAATATTTTCCTCACATTGTATATGCACTTATTATTTTAGCTAACCGTAGAATCATGATATCAATAGATACTGTAAACCAACTTGTTTTCGCTGATAGAAAAATAACGAGAATGTAACGAATATGTCAAATGTGGATCTTGTCCTTTATTATTTCATAAACTAAATTTGCAAATGCAGGGCCACAAAGTCGAATAATGTGGTCAAACTCTTGTTAAAGACACATAGGCTAAGGATTTAGTATTCGGTTATTTAGTCTTATCAATCAATCGCACTCAAGCCAAGACTGTCATGCGCTTTACCATTTGTTCAGTATCTTAATTTCAGGTTGACTTCAGATGACTGTTGCTATACTTTCATGATCCCTTTGGTTATATATCTCCTAACGTATTCCGGTATTTTACATCCTGGATTTAAAACTATTTTGGGTTTGATTGTTTCTGATTAAGCTCAGTTTCGGTAGCACAAAATGTTGTTATTAATATTGCTGATTTTATACTCATTTTAACTTTCTCATCGTTTATTATTGTTGTCATTTTGTGACATCCAACGTTCCTTGTATGGCTTATCTTTACTGTATATTTTTGTCTGATGAATGAACCTTTGGTCAGCACTGTCAATAATAACGATTTTTTAATACAGTCCTTGAATGGTTAAAATTCCCCACTCAAACCATTGATCCTTATACCATGCAGCATTCACCATTACACCTTTACATACACCATTCCTCATATATAATAAAGTATACCGCAAACCATTCCCTATACACCATTACAGAATTACTCTTTCCCCATTCATATTTAAACTAGATACGATTTGAACCATTCAAAATTACGCTCAATGGAACGAGGTTGAGGGAATTGCAAATTTCAATGTATCTTAACATTTATAAAAAAAGTAAAATCTAAAACCGAAACAACATTCATCATACCAGATTCACAATTCTCTATTGCATCCTACGCTATTTACCATTGCAAAAACAAAAAAGTATTGAATTTGTAACAAAATGCTTACATAGGCAAAAAACGGAAAACGACCAAATGACAAACAACAGTATTAGAAACACTACATCGTAAACTAAAACAAGACCCTATCAAAAACCGGGGGCGATCACAGGTGCTCCGGAATGGTAAGCACATCCTGCTGAACATGTGACAGAAGTCGTGTTAATGTGATAGTTCAAACTCAACGAAAAACAACACCTACATTATCACCTTTATTTCTGAGCAAAATGAAAGAAAGCATTGAAAGAATATTAATAAACGTGCCAGTTTTATCAACAATATTACCGTGAGTAGAAGTACACCTTTCAACCATTGATGAATTAATTGAGAATGGGTCCATGAACGGAACCCTATTTCGGGACGGACAAGGGTAACACTGAATTTCCCCCTCTGGTGACGGCGAGGGCATAAACAAATAGAATTGTTTACTAAAGTTAGCTATACAAAAGAAATTTGCTATATATAAACAAAATACTGTATCGGTTCATTTGATACAAATGAATGTTCAATGAAACTATTCTTCACATATGGTGCATGTTTAAAGTTTACTTGTAAACATAAAAATAGAAAATTAATGGAATTATTCGAAAAATATAGTATGGCAATTAACGTTAAAAATTCGTTCTAGTATGTTCTTTCTCACCGGGCCAAAAATAGCCCAAAAGCGGTCCTTAAAAGTGGCGTTAAAACACCAAAAATCAAATCAAATCAATCCTCTTTCACTATGTTTTTTCTCTGTTTTATTATTTTTCAATTTTTCTTAAGTTATTTTTCACACTATGTTTAAGTGTGAATAAAACAAAAGATGTAGTAAAAATAATAAGAAAACAAAAAGGAAAATTAAAAAAACCAACATATTGTTCGATTGATTGATTGATTTTTAACGTCACTTTCAGCACTATTGGCTATTTCGTGGTGGTCAGTTTTTATTGTTGGAGGAAGCCGGAGAGCCTGGATAAAACAACCGACCTTTGGCAGGAAAACAGACAATTCTAATCAATTACGATTGGAATCGAAGGCACCTGCCACCTGCGGGCTTTTAAATCAACCTCAGTTGGTGTTGACAGGCTAGTGGTACATTCGTTGACCTATTTAGAACACTCGGTCACCAGAAGTCACTATACATTCATCAACATAAGACAGGTAGATATATAATTACAAATGAATATTCCCCAAGAAACTACTGAAATTAACCAACATCAAATGGCGACCATAGAATTTTTAAAGTAAAATTGCTGTCATGAAAACAATTACTAGATATGATACAATTGTATGCATTCGCACGGCAGGTTAAGCGTGCTTAGCAAAAGACGCTTTAATAATCGACAGACTTGGTTCCATTCCTTTAAGAGTTAAGCGATTCATTCATTTTTGTGTTGTTACGTTGATTCAAATCTTCATAATCGATTTATTAGACTTGAACATAGATAAGCTACTGTTGCCTAACTATATGTACAATAAACTCATCATATATACCAGGATAAAAATTGTGTATGCCAGACGCGCGTTTCGTCTACAAAAGTCTCATCAGTGACGCTCGTATCAAAAGCAATTACATAGGCCAAATAGGCCAAATTAAGTACGAAGTAAAAGAGCATTGAGTACCAAAAATTCCGAGAGGTTTTGCCAAATAAAGCTATTGATTGGCAAAAAAGTCAATGTTTCAATAACAAATGCATAAAATGTAAATTTTTATTGTATTATTAAACATGTGAAGTTATAAATCGGATATACAAAGATTTTTATACAATAGTAATACACATTTTTCTTTTTTTCAAAACGATTAACAATAAAAGAATGATTAAAATATTCACTATATTTTCATAAGATTTGATTAAAATAATGAAGTACAATCATATACACATATATGTCATGCCAATATCACAATAGCCATTCATTCTAACAGTTTGATATGTTACCAGACATTGAGACTTGGATATTTCAAGTTTGATTTTTATGTAGATTATAGCTATATTATACAAGTGCTGAATGTTATTATTTACCATCAGTCCTAGATTGAAATTGATTGCATTTGCAAAGTCTTCTCAGGGTCAGTACCAACGGGTTATCATTTGTTTTACTGCAAAAGCCTTACTGTCCAATTAACAAACATATTAACCGATATTATTGCAATAACACCATTACAGAATGACAAAACTATCTAAATGGCTAAAACACTTTGTTTTAATTACTGAAAATAAACAAAGTGTAATGGCGCTCTTTTATCTCACAAGGAACTTTAATTTATACTGCTTGTACATGTTGTATATAAATTTCTTCGATGCAAATACAGTAGAATAAACACATAGTTTTACGATTTAATCATTATCAGGATTTGACAAATGCAATACTGCCATAATTATAAGCTGATTCCTTTAATCAGTCCAATACTAACTACAGCGTGAACATAATCTACGTCAAAGTGTATTCAATTTATAAGTCATGAATATAACATTTCACAAAAAATATGTTCGTATTGTCTTCAAATATAATAAAATGTTATCATCAATTTTACTCGTTTTAAAACAAACAAAACGATATTATTTGAAATATAATAAATCGAATGATGGAAATGCTTATATGTTGTAGAAAAATTGTAATTTATTATTTGAACAGAGGTTTTCTACAATTTATCAGAATTATGGCACTTCTGCCAAATACCACGGCTACAAAATAAATTTAAGTGTTCTTATATA